CGCCAACTCTCCGACACCTCCTCCTACCGCCCCCTTGATCATGACCCCACCCCTGAGCACCAAACCATCATCTCGCAAACCATCCACAACCTCATCACCTCAGGTGACCTCCCACCCACGGCCTCCAACCTCATCGTTCCCCAACCTCGCACTGCCCGCTTCTATCTCCTTCCCAAAATCCACAAACCTGAATGCCCTGGTCGACCCATTGTCTCCGCCTGCTCCTGCCCCACCGAACTGATCTCCAACTATCTCGACTCCATTTTCTCCCCCTTGGTCCAGGAACTCCCTACCTATGTCCGTGACACCACCCACGCCCTCCACCTCCTCCAGAACTTCCAATTCCCCGGTCCCCAACACCTCATCTTTACCATGGACGTCCAGTCCCTCTACACCTGCATTCCCCATGCAGATGGCCTTAAGGCCCTCCGCTTCTTCCTGTCCCGCAGGCCCGACCAGTCCCCCTCCACTGACACCCTCATCCGCTTAGCCGACCTCGTCCTCACACTCAACAACTTCTCTTTCAATTCCTCTCACTTCCTACAGACAAAGGGGGTAGCCATGGGTACCCGCATGGGCCCAAGCTACGCCCGCCTCTTTGTAGGTTACGTGGAACAATCCCTCTTCTGTACCTACACCGGCCCTAAACCCCACCTCTTCCTCCGTTACATTGATGATTGTATCGGTGCCACCTCGTGCTCCCACGAGGAGCTCGAACAGTTCATACACTTCACTAACACCTTCCACCCCAACCTTAAATTTACCTGGACCATCTCTAACACCTCTCTCCCCTTCCTGGACCTCTCTGTCTCCATATCGGGCAACCACCTCGAAACCGATATTCATTTCAAGCCCACCGACTCCCACAGCTACCTAGAATACTCCTCCTCCCACCCACCTTCCTGCAAAAATGCTATCCCCTATTCCCAATTCCTTCGCCTCCGCCGCATCTGCTCCCAGGATGAGGCATTCCACTCCCGTACATCTCAGTTGTCCTCGTTTTTCAAGGACCGTAACTTCCCCTCCTCGGTGGTCGAGAACGCCCTCAACCGTGTCTCCCACATCTCCCGCACCTCATCCCTCACACCCCGTCCACGCAATAAAAACCAAAAAAGAATCCCCCTCGTCCTCACGTACCACCCCGCCAACCTCCGGATCCAACACATCATCCTCCGACACTTCCGCCATCTGCAATCCGACCCCACCACCAAAGACATCTTTCCCTCCCCACCTTTATCTGCTTTCCGGAGGGATAACTCTCTCCGTGACTCCCTTGTCCGCTCCACACTCCCCTCCAGCTCCACCACACCCGGCACTTTTCCCTGCAACCGCAGGAAGTGCTACACCTGCCCCCATACCTCCTCCCTCACCCCCATCCCAGGCCCCAAGAAGACTTTCCACATCAAGCAGATGTTCACCTGCACATCTGCCAATGTGGTATACTGCATCCGCTGTACCCGGTGTGGCTTCCTCTACATCGGGGAAACCAAGCGGAGACTCGGGAACCGCTTTGCAGAACACCTACGCTCGGTTCGCAACAAACAACTGCACCTCCCAGTCGCGAACCATTTCAACTCCCCCTCCCATTCCTCAGATGACATGTCCATCCTGGGCCTCCTGCAGTGCCACAACGATGCCACCCGAAGGTTGCAGGAACAGCAACTCATATTCCGCTTGGGAACCCTGCAGCCCAATGGTATCAATGTGGATTTCACAAGTTTCAAAATCTCCCCTCCCCCCACCGCATCCCAAAACCAGTCCAACTCGTCCCTGCCTCCCTAACCTGTTCTTCCTCCCACCTATCCCCTCCTCCCACCTCAAGCCGCACCTCCATCTCCTACCGACCAACCTCATCCCGCCCCCTTGACCTGTCCGTCCTCCCTGGACTGACCTATCCCCTTCCTAACTCCCTACCTACACTCACCTTTACTGGCTCCATCCCCGCCTCTTCGACCTGTTTGTTTCCTCTCCACCTATCCTCTCCTCTATCCCTCTTCTATCCGCCTCCCACTCTCTCCCTATTTATTTCAAAACCCCCTTCCCCTCCCCCTTTTCTGATGAAGGGTCTAGGCCCGAAACGTCAGCCTCTCTGCTCCTATGATGCTGCTTGGCCTGCTGTGTTCATCCAGCCCTGCACCTTGTTGTCTTGGATGGATATATGAATAGGAAAGATTTGGAGGGATATGGGCCAGAAGCAGGCAGGTGAGACTAGTTTAGTTTGGGATTATGTTCGGCATGGGCTGGTTGGAACCGCAGGGTCTGCTTCCATGCTGTATGGCTCTATGATTCTAAGAGCCTGGGAACTACAGACTCATGAGTCTGACTTAGGTGGTGGGTAAGTTGTAGAAGGTGATCCCAAAAGATCGGATTTACATGCTTTTGGAGAGGCAAAGAATGATTAGGGATAGTCAGCATGGTTTTATGAAATGGAAATTGTGTCTCACAAACTTGATTGAGTTTTTTAAGGAAGTAACCAAGAAGACTGATGAGGGCAGAGTGGTAGACATTGTTTACTTGGACTGCAGTAAAGTCTTTGACAAAGTTCCTCCTGGTAGACTAATTAGTAAAGTTAGATCACATGGGATTCAGGGTGAGCTTGCCAACTGGATACAAAATTGGCGTAACAGCAGGAGACAGAGTGGTGGCGGAGAGTTGGTTTTTGGACTGGAGGCCTGTTACCAGCAGTGTTCCACAGGGATAGGTGGAGTCCACTTTTGTTTATCATATATATAAAAATGATTTATATGAGAATATAGAAGGCATGGTTAGTAAGTTTGCAGGTGACATCAAAATTGGTGGTACAGTAGACACTGAAGATTGTTATCTAAGAAACAGAGATCGTGATGAATTGGGTCAATGGGCTGATAAGTGGCAGATAGAGTTTAATTTGGATAAATGCGAACTATTGCATTTTGGTAATTCAAAAAGGATAGGACTTATATGTCTAAAAATAGGGCCTTGGGTAGTGTTGTAGAACAGGGACCTAGGGATTCAGGTGCATAATTCTTTGAAGTTTGTGTCACATGTAGACAGGGTGATTAAGAAGGCATTTAGCATGCTTGCCTTCGTTGCTCAGACATTTGAGATTAGGAATTGGGACATCATGTTGACATTGTACAGGAATTTGGTGATGCCTGTTCTAGAGTGTAATGTCCAGGTCTGGTCGCCCTGTTATGGGAAGGGTATTACTAAGCTGAAGAAGCTTCAGAAAAGATTCACCAGGATGTTGCTGGAAATAGAGTGCTTATAGACTTATAAGGAGAGGTTGGATAGGCTGGGATGTCTTTGACTGGAGCATAAGAGATTGAGGGGTGACCTTACAGAAGTTTATAAAATCATGAGGAGTGTACACAAGGTCAATGGCAGTTGTCTTTTCCCTAGGTGTGTCTGCACATTAGATTTTCATTCATATACCAGAACACCTGGATTCTTATGCACAAGCAAGTTTTACAATATCTCTCTGTTCAAATAATATACTGCGTTTCTGTGCTTCCTACCAAAGTGGACAAGTTCACATTTTCCTACATTATTTAATCTGCCAAATTCTTGCCTATTGACATGACCTATCCAGATCCCTTCCCAAACTCTTGTACCTCCTCTTGACAACTTACTTGCCTGGCTATTTTAGTGTCAGCAGCAAAATTAGTTACTGCACATTTAGTCCTTGCTCACAGTCAATAAAAAGGATGGATGTACCAAGCAACTGTAGGTCAATAAGGTAATGGGATAGGACCTTATAAAGTTCAAGGGTCAGAAAAAAAGACTAAATAATGGAATTCAGGGTGAAGAAAAAGAAGAAGACTAGACAATGGGATTTTGGGAGAGTAAAGTAAATTGGGGTGATTAGGGAGTCAGGCAGAGGAAAAAGAGGGGCTCAATAGAGATTGGAGAATATGAATGGGATGGGGTTAGGAAGGGGTGTCAGAAACATGAGGGAAAGCAGAATAAGATTAGGGAAACAGGAGTCTGGTGAATTGGGGCTCAGGCAGGGCTGAAGAGATTAAGGTCCAGAATTTCCTGCAGAGCCATGAACAGCAGCACCATGGTAAGTAAGAATAGCATGGAGATAGGAGCTATGAGTGAACTGATAAATAAAACCTGGGCACTTTCCTGTGGGTAAATATTAAAAGATTGATACAACTAGTGGAAAAACAAAGAACAAAGAGGTGGAAATCAAGGATTTTCATTGGAAGGAGGAAAATTCTTGGGATATTAGATCATGGAATGCATCAGTACAAGTGCATATTTAAGTTAGAGACCTTGGAAAAAAAATCAGTTAAAGGGAATGGGATCATTATTGAAAATGAAACTGAGTAACTGAGGCAAAAAGAGTGCCAACCGCAGCTCAGAACTATAGGAACTGAGTGTTACCAGAATTAGCTACAATTGTGCAGAAACACAGAAACTGGCTATTCTAAACCAAGTAGTGTACGCTTGTGATTTGTGCTCAACATGGGGGGTAGAATCGAAGTTCTCCCGTCCTCTTTCCCACCCCCCCCAAAAAAAAACCACCCCCTTTCCCTTTTCAGTCTTCGGTTGAGCGCGCTCCCCCCCCCCCCCCCCCCGTACTGAACTAAAAAGGGGACCCTTCCTGAAATAAATAGTTCAACAGTCGCAAGCCTGTCACCGTGCTCGGGAGGTCCACGAATACCTCCAGCCAGAGCGGCCAAGGAAGGGGTCGTCAGGGCACATTCCGGAGAAAGCCAGGGAATCTGACTAAATAGGTAGCTCTTTCCCAGCCTCAGGAAATGCAGGCCCTCGCCTGGGGACTGACCCTCGGGGCCTGTGTCCACCGAGTCCCCAGCTGCAAACCCTGCAACTTTCAAACTACTTCTTCCCTACCGCCCACCCCCCTCAACTCGCAACCTTTTCCCATTACTTGGAAATTTCGACTCAATCCCTCAATAAAACAAGATTTTAGACGACAACAGAGCCCCACCCCAGACGCCCGATTGAAAAGATCCCATAGCCAGCACCCGGGGGTTCACACATTCACTTACCTCTGCCCCCCGACCGTTTGAAAGCCGGCTGAGTGCAACTTGAAATGGATCCGCCTGGAATGGATCGGCTCCCGCTAGGTAGGTAGCATCGTGCGGAGCTGGACTACACGGATCGGACTACCGCAGATCAAAGGAGACCTCGTCCCAAACCTGAGTAGGATTAAAGCCCCCACCCCAATCCGCCCACCATCTCACACATTATTCCCCTCAACTCAAAAACTCTCCTTCCTCTGTAGGTTATTCATTGATTTTTAAGGCTGAGTTGGCTGGATTCTTGATTGACGAGGGAGTCAATCCCACTGGAGGTCTGAACCTGCATTTCCCGAAGCCCTGTGGAAGACAGTAGATAGAAAAGTAAGAGTTGAGACCTCGATCAGGTCTTATCAAATGGTGAAACAGGCTCAAGTGTTAGAATGGCTTACTTACATTCTTAGTTCAAATGTACTGTTACAAAGTTTTGTATGGTAATTGTGAATTGGAAGGCAGGAAGCTAGAATTTGGAAAAAAAAGGGAGAAGTGTGTATGCTTCCTTTAAGAGGTAAAGTGCTTTTCTAAACTTAGAAATTTATACAGAAAAAAAATGTCTGTATGTAGCCAAAGATGTACAACCGGTTCTGAAATTGAAACATGTATCAATTGGCTGTGTGATTGGAAACCTTAGGCTTGTTTTTACATTTTGGAAAATAGCTGGAATCAGCCAATTAACTTAAACCGAACACTTAGCGATTGAAAGCCAATTGGATTTAAATCTGATGATTTTGACAATCTCGGACCAAACTATTGTAAGAAAATTAACGTGTCATCCAAGGTTTACAAGGAGAGGGTTTTTGAAAATCAGTGTGACAGCGAACTACCCTCTGAGAAACAAGCATCTAGCTCTCCGAAGAAATCACTAAGCTCTCTAAGAAAGCACCATCTATCCATTAAAGGTACCACGGCACTTCTAGCAAGCATCCTCACAGAAGACTTTACAGAGAAAACATCCCTGACAGCCGGATCAGCAGAAGAAAGGTATTTATGACTCAAACAGAAAAAAAGGTGTGTAGACTTTGAGAGAATAAGTCTTAATTTATTTTCTTACTACTTGGATTTATATAAATGGGTCTTGTGTTTATTGGAAAAGCACAACAGTAGAATTTGGTTCAGTTACTGAATAATTAGAAGTTAAGGGGGAGTTGTTCAGTTTGTTAGTAATTCTGTTAATTTGTTCACTGAGGGTTAAATAAATAAATTGTTACTTGTTTCTTATAAAGTGAATATCAGGGATTTTCTTTCTTTTAACCTCCCCTCAATTTTCTTTTTGGATTTTAGTTTCTAAAGAGAAATTAAAAAGAAGGACCGGCTATTGGTTTCTTCACAGAATCTGCATGACTGCTGCAAGATCCTATTAAAACTGTGGGAATGTCCTGCGGGAGTTATCAATTCCAGGCCACAGACTAACCAGAACCAGAATGGCAATTATAGTCAACAGCAAGGGAAGCTGTGAGAAGATAAGAGTGTAAAAAGGGGAAATACAATGAGATAAAGGGTAAAAGAGAGAAAGAAACAATGAAACAGGGAGATAACATGAAATATATTTAAGACATAGGAACACAGAAACAGGAGTAGACCATTCAACCCCTTGAGCCTGTTCTGCCATTCAATGAGATCATGGATGATCTGTGGTCTAACTCCATATACCTGTCTTTTATCCATATCCCTTAATATCTTAGTTTAACAAAAACATATCTCTGTCAGATTGAAAATTAACAATTGATCTAGCGTGAAATTCACATGTTATAATACAGCCACTTCTGAAATTGAAACATGTATGAATTGACTGTGTGATTGGAAACCTTAAGCTTGTTTTGATATTTTGACAACTAGCTGGAACCAGCCAATTAACTTGAACCAATCACTTAGCAATTGAAAGCCAATTGAATTTAAATCTGATGGTTTTGACAATCTTGGACCAATGCAATTGTAAGAAAATTGATATGTAATCCAAGATATATAACAAGAGGGTTTTTGAAAATTGGTGTGAGAGCGAACCGCCATCTGAGAAATAAGCATCTAGTTCCCACAAGAAATCACTAATCTCTCTAAGAAAGCACCATCTATCCATAAAAGGTACCACAGCATTATTGTGTATTATAATGGTGAAGTTATTGAGAATAAACTACACATTGATTTAATTATTCATTTGTCTTTGATGTCCTTATTCACAGAAAATTCAATTATAATCTTCCACTTGTCATTTCCTTGCTACAGCCCCGTCTTTGTTCTCTCATGTTGAAGGAGTACAAACTCAAAGGCACCATGGACCTGGTCAATAATCAACTCATCTGTTTTGATCCTGTTGGGCTATCCTATGATGAAAATAGAAACTGCAGGAAAGAGTCAACAAGCATTGGTAAAGAGAGAGAAAGAAAGATAACCTTTCACATTATAACCTGTCATCAGAACTGGCAACAATCAATAATATTATGCTTTATGTTATTCAATCAAACGACCTATTATCCCAAAATTCTGGAACACAAAGATGTCTCTGGTATTTATTGTTTAATTTTGATCACTGATGGCAGATTACAATAAAAGTCTCAGATGCAGTGGAGGGTGAATTTCAATGCTGACATGAAAGTGGAAGGGGTAGTAGGAACTGCAGATGCTGGACAATCTGAGACAACAAGGTGCAGAGCTGGATGAACACAGCAGGCCAAGCAGCATCATAGGAGCAGTAAGGAACTGTTTTCAGCCTATTCAATTGATGTCAATGGAAACCAAAATCTGGTGAAGTGTATCATATCTAGTTACAATATAGCTGCGGGGAGGCAATGGCCTAGTGGTATTATTGCTGGACTATTAATCTAGAAACCCAGATAACATTCCAGGGATCTGGGTTCAAATCCCACCATGGCAGTTGGTGGAATTTGAATTCAATAAATATCTGGAATTAACAATCTAATGATGACTGTGAATCCACTGCCAATTGTCAGAAAAACCCATCTGGTTCATTAATGTCCTTTAGGAAGGTAACTGCCATCCTTACCTGGTCTGATCTACATGTGAATTCAGATCCACAGCAATGTGGTTGACTCCTAATTGCCCTCCCTCTGGGCAGTTAGGGATGGGCAATAAATACTGCCTAGTCGGTGATGCCCTCGTCCCATGAATGAATAAAGCATCTAGATGATCTACCATTGCCTGTTTTATACCATCACGACTATGTTTTAAGGTGAAGCTTTTGGTACATATGACAAACAATATCAGCTTTTATCTGAGAATGTAACATCCTGAGCTTAATACTGTTGGCCTCAATTGAGATTAGAACAGTCACAAATATGTTTTTATTATGTCGTTTGAAAGAAATAACATTGTTCAATGTTTATATAGCTGGAATATATACCTTCCCACTAAAGAAGTTAATAAATTTTCAGTGATTTAATCTACTTTTTGTAAGAGTGTCAGTGTTCATAAAATCAATTTCAGATGAGATGATGTAATGGGATGGAACAACTTATTAAGAAACGTAGTTATACTTTACTTAAAAAGCTCAATATCCTAGTTTTGATGATTTTTGCTTTCTATTAACTCTAACAGCTACACACAGCTCATAACATCAGTTCTTCCTTCTTTCTCAATGTATCCTTACACAAAGAACGTTTCTGAATTCTGAGACCAAAAATTCTTCCTATGCTGTTGTGTCCTGATCTCATTACCTCTTTGTCAATGCTTACAACAATTGTCAATATGATCACAATCCATGGCCACTGTTGAGACTTTCATTACTTTTCTTTTATTTTCCTTTTTTTTTGGTTTGGAACTGTGAGTTGCAATTGAGAATTGGACATCGAACAGCAACTGTTTGTTTTGAAAAGGAGAGAACAAAAGACTAATGTTTGCAGTTAGAAACCAGCCTGGAAAGGAGGTTAATTATTAAGAACACAATAGATGAACTGGCACTGAGATGTCATTATGCTCAGGGACTGGCAGCTGGTTGGATGTTGAATTGGTCAATTAGGGAGGACTGGTGCTGGCCAGCCTAACACAGAGAAAATTTGAAAAAGAAGGAAAGAGAGATAGAAAACAGGGAATTATAGACCAGTAAGCCGAACATCAATAGTGGGGAAAATTCTCAAATCCATTATCAAGGACTTTAATAGTGGACCATTTAGAAAGCAGTGGCAGGATCAGATAGAGTCAGCATGGATTTATGAAGAGGAAATCATGCTTGACAAATCTGTTGGAATTCTATGAAGACGTAACTAGTAGAATTGACAAGGAGGAGCCAGTCAATGTGGTATATTTGGAATTTCAGAAAGCGTTTGTCAAAGTCCCGTTTAAGAGATTATTGTGCAAGATTGAAGCACATGGGATTGGGGGAAATGTATTGAGGTGGATAGAAAACTGGTTGGCAGAGGGGAAACAAATAGTAGGAATTAATGGCTCCTTTTCAAAATAGCAGGCAGTGACTAGTCAGGTACCACAGGGATCGGTGCTGGGACACCAGCTATTCACAATATGTATTAATGATTTGGATGAGGGAACAAAATGTAACATGCCAAAGTTTGCAGATAACACCAAGTTGGGTGGGAGAGTGAACAGTGACAAGGATGCAGAGATCCTTCAGCATGATCTGGAAAGGTTTGTTAAGTGGGCAAATCAATGGCAGATACAGTCTAATTTAGATAAATGTGAGGTTATTCATTTTGGAAGCAAAAACAAGAAGGCAGATTACATACAGAATGGCTGTAAATTGGGAGAGGTGAGTGTGCAGCAGGACCTGGGTGACCTTGTGAACCAGTTGCTGAAGGTAAGCATGCAGGTCCAGCAGGCAGTAAAAAAGACAAATGTTGGCCTTCATTGCGAGAAGTTTCAAGTACAGAAGCAGGGATGTGTTGTTGCAGTTATACAGGGCCTTGGTGAGGCCACACCGAGGATATTGTGTGCAGTTTTGGTCTCCTTTTCTGAGGAGGAATGCTCTTGCTCTCGAGGGAGTGCAGCGAAAGTTTACTAGGCTGATTCTGGGGATGGTGGGACCAACATATGAGGAGAGATTGACTAGGTTAGGATTGTTTTCACTGGAGTTCAGATGAATGATGGGGGAATCTC